GCGGGAGACAGAGCGCAGCCTGAGGGGCGCGGGCGCACCCCACGCCTGGCCGCCCACCCCAGAGACTCCCACCGCCTGCCGAGGGCTCGGCAGAACCGCGTGCAGCGAAGACCCCCCGAAACGCGCGCCGTGAGGGCCGCGGGAGCGCCTGGGCACCTCCCGGCGGCCGCTTGTGAGGCAGGGATGGGTGGACGAGGCCTACCGGCGAGACGCGGTCGCCGGGATGGGTGACACCGGGCGGACAGAGGGGAGGGTGGGGGGCAGATGTGCACATAGGGCTGACCCTCGCCGGCGGTGGTCTCGGGCCCGCGGGCCGGCATCGTGCGTCGCTGGCACCCTGAGGGCCGTTTCTCTTGCTGTAAAGCAGGAGCGCACTCGCCGGGTGCAAGGAGCCTTCTAGCCCCAGTGCTTGGGGAAGACGTGGGAACTGGGTACGCGGGGGCTGCCGGGCCGCCCAGGCTGGCGGGCCCTGGGAACGGAGTCTGCGCAGACTGCCCTGGTTACCCTCCAGCTGTGACTACCCTAGGCCTTCACCTCCGCTTTTAAGTCAGTAAACGAATTTCCCGGGGGTAGGGGTGGAACTCAGGCTCAAAGGTGACTGCCGTAATCTGACTGCAGACCTCTCCCCCAGACAGGAAGTTCTCATTATTAGGTAAGTGGAGGAGCAGGTACAAAATAAAATTTCCACTTATGAAGCAATGGCTTCTGGAAGTGCTTTTCTGCTCTTTATTTACTTTCGGGGGAGGGAAAGATAAATGAACTAAAATGTTTAGAAGCGCGTCTGTAGAAATATTACAGTTAAAATTCCCTCTTTCTGGGACGTTTTGGTTTTTTTAACCAAAAGATTAGTGTTATTGGGCGTTTCTAATGGTTTTCTGCTTTTTTGTTTGATTGTTTTTTTGTAAAAGCCCAGAAACCGTTTCCACAGAAAAGTGCCTCCTCGTTCACTGGCAACGTGGGGTCACAGGACCTGCCTTTACTGCTGAAGAGACAAATCTCGGGGCAGTGAATGAAGTTGTTGACATAGTAAATGATTTTTCTAACTGCCTTCACAAGAGATTGCTCACCCTCAAAAACAGAGCCTGACTGGTGTGTGTGTGTTCCTGTGGCGAGCTTTCAAACCAGTCGACTTAACTGATAACGAACACAGGACTTTTCCCTGTTTTTTCTTTTGAAAGCAGCAGTAGATGATCATAGCTGATGTTGGAACCAGGGAAACGTATCTGGGGCAGGGGCAGGGAGTGTTTGGGGGAAAGCCTAGATACACATAACCTGAATTTTAGCCCCCAGAAGGTGAGCTTCAGAAGTATCCTGCGACTTTAAGAGTAAACTCAAATAAATTAAAACCTTAGCCTCCCCCTCTTGTGATTCCCTCAGATATTTTTAGGCTTTGCTGTAGAAAGTTCAGGCAGGAAAGTAGAGGAATAAAACAAGCTGGGTTTGAGGTCCCAGGGTGCAGTGGGGACTGACCACTGGGGACATGTCCTCATCTCCAAGGGGGCAGCCTGGAGCTAAGAAAAACCTCAGCGTGGGCAGATGATCTGACTCTTCAAGTGACTGCAGATATTTGGAGTCTTGTGTAAAATCTCTCAATTTATAAATGTTGACTGCTAATTAGAAAATTTTGAAGTAGACTAAACAAAACCCATCAGCTGGCCGGCATCAGTCCCGTGTGCAACCCTCAGAACTTAAGAGGTGGGAGCAGAGGAACGCAACAGCCGGTCCACAGGCAGGGCTCAGTGCCCCGTGAAGGGGTCGCCAGACTAGAGTCAGGCCCCATCTCAGAGGCCAGGGGAACTGGGCTCCCATATGAGCAGGTCTGCCAATGAACAGGAGAGCTCCGCTAAAGGAAAGGTAGAAGGTGGGAGCATGGGGCGAGCTCAGGGTACGGCGGGCGCTGAGCACTGAGGCCCTGTCCCAGTCAGGTCCCTCCAGCTGGCTGGGCTCGGTACGGGCTGACCTCCAGCTCAGTGTCCTGCCAGCCCTCTGCCACCAGGCTGACCTGGGGTCTTCTCCTAGCCAGGGTATGCTCTGGAAGTGTACTGAGCGTAGTGAGGTCGTGGTTCTGTACCCACCCAGCCCACCTCCCTTCCAGGAGGGTCTTCTCCCACCCCAAGACAGATAGCACGCTTTGAGACATCAGCTCTGCTTCACCTGGAGAGCATCGTCCACCCCGGGGACTCGGGCCAAGGGCCTCTGACCATCTCTGTCTGGTTTCACTTGGGGCCACAAGCATCTCGGCTTCTGTAGTCTGCAGGGAAAGTCACATCTGGTGTGAAAAGAGGAGAGGCATGGAAGGAGTGTGACCAGAAATGCTGTGTTGGAACACGGGACAAGTTTGCTACCAGCAAGAATGCAGAACCCAGCACTGCACACCCTGCTGCCGGCACATGTGCGGGGCTATGGGGACAAGTTTTGCTTCCCAGACCAGCGGTCGGTGGGGCTTTTAGTTATTAAGCAATAAAATAGGGGAAGCTTGAGACACATTTGAATATAGGTATAAACATTACGAGAGTCCGTGACTTCCAGGTTGCTCTGGCTGTGGGGAAGGCGTGCAGTGGTACGGCACAGATACTTTCATTTTGTGCCTGCTACACTACATAATAAAAAGTTTTTAAAAAAGACGCAGCTAGATGGTCATTCACCTGGAGGACTTCACCACCTCAGCCAGCAGTGCTCCTCAGCCCTGCAAACTCAGACGGGGACAGGCGGACGCTCAGAACAGATCTGCCTGCCAGGACAGACTCAGGGACATGTCTCGTGACTGATCTGCAAATGCAGATGGCCAGTCTGTCCACTCACGGGGAGAAGACCTCTCAGAGATCTGATGGCCCCTCCACCCCAGGACACAGGCAGGGGAACCTGGAGTATGAGACAGTAGCCTCATGGATGGATCTGGAGTGGAGTCCACCCATCTCAACTGTCCTCTCTCTGGCTCTGTCTTGCTGAGACTCCCTCACCAGGGACAGTGCTCAGGTGGCCGGCCACCAATAACAACAGAACCAATGCACCAAGCACTCAGTATGTGCCGGGCTTAGCCTGTCTTACGGATGAGGGAACCAAGGCTTGGAAAGTTTAAGTAAATGGCCCCAGATATTCCCAGTGGGGGCAGAGCTGACAGTGAAGAAACCTGGGACGTGGGCTCTAAAGCTCTGCTCAGACAGCCCTGGCTGACCAGCCCCTGTCGCCCCTGTCTCTAAGCACGGTAGGTCACCGCTGATTAGAAGTCCATTCACTAAATTATAACCAA